TCTCCTTCTTCCAACTCTTTTTTCAAATCACTTTCTGTTTCATTTACTGTTTTAAAAATTTTATTAAATAAGTTTTTAATTTTTTTGCAAACTAAAATTGTAAACTATAAAAATTGTAAACTATATAAATTGTAAGTTGTAAGTTCTCGTTGGTCGCATCATCATATAATTAAACATTGACTTTAACATTAGGAACTACAAACGTAGTTTTAACACTGCTACATCATCATTAATTCATTATCAATATTGATATCACGGCCATCACCATCTTTATCATCGTTATTAACATTACCGCATCACCACACTTTGCTCTTATCAGCATTACTTACATCTCGCCGTCGTAATGAAATTACGTCATAATGACGTCATCGTTACGTCACAAACATTATAATTACGTCATTATTTCGTCATAATTACGTCATCATTACGTCATAATCGCGTCATTATTTCATCACATTCAACTAACAACTTAATTGAGATTCAATTTTCGATTGTTTCTTCGCCTCTGCTTGTTTCCTGTTAGGGTCCACACAATTAATTGTTTAATTAACCAACCGGTTATTTAAATAATTAACACATCAAGTTTGTATGTAAAAAAAACTCTTGCAAACTTAATTTCATCACAAATGAATCCACGATTTTAATTAATTGTAAATTAATTATAATTAAAAAACAATAATTAATCGTACAACTTATCGTTAAAAGGCATAAAAATTTAATTAACCAATTAGGTTTTAGATCATTCAATCAACAAAACCAGGTTTAAGATCATTCAATCAATCAACCAATCACGCTCTAGCTGTACCAACATTAAATTTTTTCTGGCAATTTCCTTCTGTAGCACATCGTCTTTTTTAGAATAATAAACACTTCTTCTATTTTGTGTCTTTGATTTTATTCGCTTCCTGTTGTTTTAAAAACAAATTAATTTTTGACAAAATTATCCTTATTTATATCAAAAAACACAAATGCACGCATCAAAAATATAAAATTAATTTAAATTTTGCAAATATTTTTATCAAGTTGTTCAAACGTATATTATCAGACCTAGTCGACTGTTGTTGCTGAAGCTGTGGTTGTTGAAGTTGCGTCTGCTGTTGTTGTTGCTGTTCAATAACAGAAATGTCCTCGTCTTTAATCATGTTCTCGAAGACTTTAATTTGTTCAATGAACTCCGGTTTTCCGATGTTGTAATTTGTTTTGGTCCAAAACACCTGAGTTAATATAATAAATATACAAACTTTGACGTTGTAGTAAGTGAAGCAAGCTTTGCGACTGCAGCTTACAATAAAAAATATTTTTTTAATCCAATTAAAATTCTCACTTAGCAATACTCAGTTGACTCAGCACGGATAATTTTGTACTACTTAAAATAAGAGAGTCATAAAACTACTCCAGCTCGTATCTACTGCCATTTTATTTTGTACACAATTCGTCTTCATCATTGTTATCATCAATGAAAATAAAACCATCATCATTATTATTATTACAGTCGTATTTAAAAATGTGATAATAAATATGTATGTACGTAGTCTCTTTGTGTCATGCTAGGGCGTTCTACATGACATCATTTCTCTTTTACACGTTTATGACGTCACTTCTCTTACAAATCTATAAATAAATCATTACATTCCATAAAATATAACAGTACTTTCAATATAAATTTTAAATGAATGTGTTATAATAAAAAGTTTATTTCATCAAAAACCAATTAAAACCAGTCACAACATAACCGAATCAACCAATCAGAACGACGAACGAACGAACCTTGTCAATACCCTGTTCCAATAGGACATCCACAGCGTTATAGAACGTGTCTTGGTCTGGAATTGGTTCCAGCATCTTATTGATGAGAAGCATGGCAAACAAACATGCATCATTCCACTGTGAGTTGTCGCGATTGGACTGCTTCAATAGATCCATCAAGTTGGAATACATCTTCTTGCCTGTACGTTATTTGATTGGTTGTTTGTGATTGGCTGATGAAATTAAATCATCGGTTGTGATTAGCTAGATAAATGATCAGTGATTATTGGATTTTTTCTTAAACTTAATTTACAAGCTGTAATTGGTTAAAAATGCAGTTAGGTAGCTAATGAGCGGTTGTTCATTTAGCGGACTGACTATTCGCTAAACAACTTTTCATTATAATTCAACGTATTTTAAATTTACGCTTGACGGCGCATCGAAAAACAAGTCAAAATAAATTTCTTTAAAAACGGACGTGCTAATAACGTTTACAATTTAAAAAAAGAGATGGAATCTATCTCAAAAACGCTGACAACAAACACAACGGCAATTTTGGTGAAGATGCAACAGAACCAGAATGTCGGATTCGGTGGAAAAATATCTAACTTTGGCCCCTCAAAATATTCAGACCCCGGTAAAAACCTCCCGACGACTCTGGTTCCCTAGCATAGGACACTACCGACAGCAACAACAAACAACCTTTGCTGATGCTGGAAGCCGAGACAGCCTGGATGAAGAGGAAGGAGTTGCATTCACTGTAGCAGACGAACATGAGAAGCAGGCGGACTGAAGTCTTCACTATGGCGGCAGACTAGCGAATGAAAAAAATTTTTACCAGTGCTTTGTTTGATTGGTCGAATTATTGTCCGTGATTGGTTTGTAAAATTGAATTGTTGATTGTGATTGGCTGACAAAATTAAATTATTGATTGTGGTTGGCTAGATAAAGGGTCAGTGAATTATTGAAATTAATTGTAAGTTGCATTTCAGCATTCATATTAACACAAAAAATTTAAATAATAATGAAAAAAAATATTGATAAAAATAATAAGAATAATAAGATAATTAATAAGAGCAATAATAATCATAATATTGATATGTATATAGCAGAACGTCGTATTGCTTATGTATCGTATCGTATGTGCCAAGCAAAAACATGTTACCGTAGAGCCTGTAAGAGCATAGAGCCACTGGACGACACTGTTCACTGATACTATTCCATTCATCCCATCCACATTCAACATCAGTTGGCCGATTGCTGTTAGTCAGTTTTACGTTCATTTGTTCGTTCGTTCGTTCATTCATTCGTTCAGTTATTTATTCATTCACACTTTTAGTCATTCATTCATTCCCTCATTCAATTAACCATTTCTGCATCCTTTCATCACTCTCTCCATCCATCTATCCATCAATCGACCGTCCATTTTACTTCATTCGTCCAAAATTAACTAATCGCAGTGCACATACCTCTGAGAATGTAGCATTGATAAGTTGAGTTGGTCTGATTGTCTTGTGCTAACTTCATCAGCGTCTGTAGGCCATCGCTGTATATGAACTCTTTTATTAGGTCTGGTTCGTTCTGAGTTAAGGTTCAGTTGGAGTTGACAATTTGTGAGATTTTCATTTTATTTTTATTTCAGAATAAATTTTCAGAATAAATTTTTGAGAAATTTTTATTCATTTTATTTGAAAACTTTCTGAAAAATCTAAAAAATATTTTGCCAACGTATCTTTCATTTTCAATAATATTCATAGTTCGCCATGAATGAAAAATGATATTATAAACAATATCATTCATTCATTTGTTTATTAAATCAATCATTCATTCATTCATTCAATCATTCATTCATTCATCTATTCAATCAACACATACTAATGCACATATTATTATGTGCATTAATAACTCATTAACTATTTTTTTATCTTCATGCAATGCATTAGTCTGTTCTAACCTTGAAGATTCTTTTCAAAGAAAACAGCGTTCGTTTCAACTCTTTTCCTTCCAACAAACAATCTGTGTGTGCGTATGTGCATGTGTGTGTGTGTGTGTGTACGTGTGTGTGCGTGTGTGTGATGTGCGTGCGAGCGACCGGGTATGTGTGCGTGTATATGTGTTTGTGAGTGTCTTCAAATATATGTGATAAATATGTATGGATGTGATTTGATTCGTTAAATGTTATGAAAGGATTCAAATTTTAAATAACAGCAGAATGAATGCATGAATGAGTGAATGAATGAACGAATGAATGAATGAATGGGAGAATGAATGAACGAATTAATGGGTGAATGAATGAACGAAGGAATCAATAAATAAATGGATGATGAATGAATAGATGAATGGATAAGCTCCTAGTTCGATGAAGTTTTTTACATTTCAATTTCAAAGAACGTTCAAATTTATGATTGCGCTTGCTTCGATTTTTAGAGCTTAAGGTAAAAAAAATAGTTTTTTTCACTTCATTTACATTTAAACAACACTCAACTATTTTCTGTTTTCTGATTTTGTCAGCTTTATTCATTATTAATAGGATAAATTTAACGTTTTCAGTATTAGTAAATGGATTTTGCCCAATAACATTACCTTACTTCTTGTAAATTGACGGTTAAATTAAATTTTTTCCAACGAATATGACAAGCAACTGACCAATCAGAGCATGCACCTTGACCGCCATCTTGATAGTGACGTCATTGTTTACGTCATCATCGTC